TGTTTGTGTGAGAGAGTGAGAGAAGAAGAAGACAGGGAAGAGAGAGGACGTGAGTGCAGGTAAAAAAGCTTCTCTACTGAAATAATACTATTTAATTTAATTTAATGCTCCCACCGTTCTTTTTTTTTTTGGATGAAGTATTAATTTAATAGAGAGAGGAATAATCAAATGTTTTGATGCACACTTAAGTTATCGTAGTCAAACTCTAATCCGACAGCTCAAATTTGCTGTAGTGGGATTATGTCATTTTATCTTTAAGACTTTAACCGTTGGATTTGATGATCTTATAGCTTTGGAAATGTCGTCCACAATTTCTTGCATTCGTTTACACTCTCCTTTCATTTGATTGACGGTAACGATTATCGAATCATTAGAAAAAGCTCAAATGAGTGGTCGCATTAAACTTCGCTCAAGCAACAATTTAACTAATTCTAGTAACGGTATAATAGAAACAACTCCAAGTCACTAATACCACAAAATTTATGCAAATTTTTTTTTGAAAATTGGTCAAAATTCGGAGAAGAAAATGGTTTACTAGCAAAACATAATCACGATCACACCGGTCACCGGAATAAGTTACATATGTTTTGAAAACGAGATTGTTCATTGACCAACATTCGGTTCCCTAACTTTAACACATCATGGCGCTAAAACATTAAAGAGAAACGAGAAATATAAATAAATGAAAATTTTACTTCATTCATTCCACTATATATAGAACCTTATTTTTTTTTTTTTTTATGTAAAAGGTTACATTTCACCAAAATTTAGATGATTGTGATAGATTTACCGCAACCCATTATTGAAAAGCTGAGTTTTAAATATTTTTACTGTGATTACACTTAATTATGGTTTAGTCAATGTGAGTTTTAGTCAAAAAGAAATTGATATAGAAAACAAATTTGCATGTGAATGAAAAATCTACTGATTTATGGATGTATAAACTAAAGGAATTGTGGAGTCGGTGGAGTAGTTTTTCTAGTTGTTGCAATCAATAGTTGATTAGAACAAATCAGTGCTTTAATAATAATTAAATAATAAATACGGTTTTGTTTGTAAAATAGTATAATAAGTTAATAACGATAAATGTTGGTGGGAACGACAACGCAAAACCTCCCGTGACGAACATTCCCGGTCTCGGGGTAATCAGAAAAGCTAGCTACTTGCAATTCTAAAAGACAAAAAAAATAGAGTAAATTTGGAAAATTACCCTCTGTATGAGTTATTGTTTGAAAAATACCTTATCCTTATTTAAAAAAAAAATATATATATATATACATTAATATATTAATTTACTAAAATAGTTTCAGTAAATAATAATTAAAAATAATTTACACGTAAAACAAAAATCTATTAATTTAGTTTTAAATTAATATTTGAAGTAACTAACAATTTAAAAATAACTCCTATCTTAAAAATTTCTTTTAAACAATATAAAATAATTGTGAATTCACCTATCAAGTGATTTATGTTCCTACGTTTGATTAAAATTTAATAGTTTATTATTATTTACAAAATCTCTTGACTAGCTAAAATTACTTTTGATTAGATTTCCATTAGTTTTTGGTTACTCTATCTCTAATCAATAACACATGTAAATAAGATAAAAAAATATTATGTTAAATCAATAAGTCGTACATTGATCTAATCAATAACACATGTCTATTACATCATTCTACCGATATTAAATCGTAATCTACGTTAATCTTACAATTGAGACAAACTTTGGAGTTGAAGAATTGACTTGTTACGTTGAGATTTTTTTTGTTTATAAAACATGACAATATCAAGGGATAGACTTTATAATATTTTTTAGATTTGATATTTTTAAATTTAATTTAGAAAATAAATAGATTATCATTATCTCAAAAAATAATTATAATTTTTTTTGGTGGGAAAAAAATAATTATAATTAAGAATAACTAAAATTGTTTCAAATTTATTTTATTTTTTCTCTCAATTTTTTTTTAATTCAGTATTGATTTTACTAAAAATACACCTTTAATTTAAATGTGGACAAAATTATTATTTTACATAAAAAAAATTTGTAATTTTCATTAGAAATAGAAAAGGGATATTTTTCAAAAGAAAACTAAAAAGTAGGATAGTTTTCAAAATGACCCAAAAAAATACCCTCCATTTTATTGGACGGCTGAGAATGGTCGTAATCTATCTAGCTCCGGCTAATTTGACTTTATTGACTTTTATAGCCATTAATTGATGCGCAATCTTTGGTAAGCCACATCAAAAGCATTTCCCACTCTCGAGTCGTTGAACCAAAGAAGAAGTCGTTGGCCAATTTTTCTATTACATCACAAAAGTCCTCATTACAATTGAAAGTATTTCTATATATTTTTTATGCAATTAAAGTTTATCATTTAGTTTATTTAGTATAAAATACGAAAAATTGCTCTATCGTCTCTATTCTCCACAACATCTATCGTTAATTTTCTTGTATTGTTAAATTGTACACTATTCTTCCCTTCTTTCTGTGCGTACAAAGCTTAATATGGATGCTCCCACATCTCAACTACATATATACATATTTAAACATGTCACAAATTAAAGATACACAAGTGTGACACGATACCGCAACTTTTTTTTTTTGCTAAACTGTTAATATCATTAGAAAATGAAACTGTTTGGCTGCTTACAAGGTAGAGCCTTTGGCTTTGAAAACATGGCAAAAAGAATAAAAACATGCTTTCAAGAAAGATAAGTCACTAAGTGAGCTTAGTTTAACCAGAGCTGCATCAAGTCGCGGAACCGCTTCCGATGCCTTCGAGCTGAGATTATGTTACGGACTTCCCTGCTTATCATTGTGAAGATAGTAACCGGTGAGAGAGAGTGCTGGTTGTGAAAAACGTTGTTTCGTTGTTTCCATAAGTGGTAGACCGTGGACTGCATTGCAATCTTCCTTAAAAGAGTAGGCGCTCTGGTTGAGGAGACTCTGACCCAAGATAGCAGCTCGGCCCAGGAGAGGAAAGAGCTTCTGTTCGGATCAACTTTTGCAAGGACTTGTAACCAAATATGAGAGGAGTAGGAGCACGTGAGTAACAGATGATCCCTCGATTCAATTTCCACCGAACAGAAAGTACAATCTGGCGATGGGCTGATGCTCCAGGAGAACAATCTCTGCCTAGTAGGCAGCCTGTTTAAGTGGGAAATCCACATATGAAAAGCATGCTTTGGCACCGCTCCTTTAAACCAAACATCAGAGAACCAACTTGTCTCTTCCTTTCTTGGCCTAACAATATTCCAGGTTCTCGCAGTAGAAAATTTGTTGCTTTTGATCCCATCAACAACCCAGTAATATTCGTCGGAGGTTGCTGTATTATTTGGGACCAGTACGGTGGTAAGGTGCGCATGCAACGCTAAGGCTGCATCAGATCTTGGAGAAGGGATGGTCCAAGAAGATCCATTGCAGGCATCAGCAACCTTTGCCTTTAAAGGAAGACGCAGCAAAGAGGGACCCTCAACACCCAAGCACTTAATCAAAGGCCCCAAAGGTGTCCAAGAATCAAACCAGAAACTGATCTCTGTCCCATTTCCCACAACTGCTTTCAGAAACTGTTCTGCCAGTGGCCTTAAGCGGAGAATAGCTTTCCATGTCCAAGAGTCCCCAGTTGTCTCCCGCAGTTCCCAGAAGCTACTTGCTCTGATGTTGTGATATTTGTGCCATTTAGCCCACAGAGAGTCAATTCCTGAAAATAAAATCCAGACAAATCTTAAACAGAGGGTGGAGTTCCACTCGGTGAATCTTCTCAGCCCCAAACCTCCCTCTTTCTTTGGTAGGCAGACAGTTGACCAAGCCACCTTAGCACCTTTTTTACCATCTATGTCTCCAGCCCACAAGAAACGAGAGCATAACGATTCGATCTTTTTTATACAACCCTTTGGGAGAATGAAAGTTGAAGTCCAGAAGTTTACTACACCATATATGACAGAAGCAATCAATTGTGTCCTTCCTGCAAATGACAGTGATCTTACAGCCCAACTTCTGAACTTCCCTGCGATTTGATCTAATAGAGGATGGTACTCTGAGATTTTTAGTTTTCTATGCATAAGGGGCAGACCCAAATAGCGGATAGGTAGAGAAGCCACCGGGAACCCGTGGCGCACAATGGCAGCAGACTGAATAGGCATGAGACCAGCGTGGAAGAGGTGGGTTTTATCTCTATTCATCAGCAACCCTGACCAAGAGGCGAAATCGTCTAAAGCTTCATTTATGCCGTGTAAAGAAGCCTCAGAACCATCAAAGAAAATCATTACGTCATCCGCAAACATCAAGTGCGTTAGTGATATACCTGATGTTTTGGGATGAAAACTGATGTATCCTTGTTCATATCTGGATTTTAGTAAGCTGGAAAAAACCTCCATAGCCAACAGAAAGAGGTAAGGAGACAGCGGGTCTCCCTGCCTTAACCCCTTGGTACTCTTGAAATAACCACTAGAGTTACCATTTAAACACACTGAGAAAGTTGGAGTGGTTAAGCATTCAGAGATCCAACCCACAAATATCTCAGGAACTCTCAGCGCCCTCAGAGCAGAGAGAATGAAGCTCCAACTGACCGAGTCGAAAGCTTTCTTTATGTCGACTTTTAACATAGCTCTAGGAGAAATTCTTTTTCTGTTGTACCCCTGAACTACCTCAGTTGCTAGTAAGACGTTTTCAGCCAAAAGTCTCCCGGGTAGAAAAGCTGATTGAGAAGAGGAGATGACCTGCGGAAGGAGACTCTTTAATCTTGAACCCAACAGCTTTGATATGACCTTATAGACTGTGTTTAAACAGGAGATAGGCCTGAAATCCGTCACATTTGCAGCGTTTGGAGTTTTGGGAATCAATACCAGTGTAGTAGCGTTCCATTGCTTTAGTAACTTCCCCGATCTAAAAAACTCCAGGACTGCCTCTGTCACCTCAAAACCGATAACACTCCAGCAACCTATGAAGAATTCAGCGGAGTAGCCATCCGGACCACTTGACTTGTTTCTGGGAAGAGAGAAGAAAGCATCTTTTATTTCCTCTTTTGTGAACATCTTGTCAAAGCACTGACGCTGGGACTGAGAGCACCTAAAAGGGAGCAAAAGATCCATATCACTTTGTATTAGACCAGAATTCGAAACCTCACCTCCCAAAAGCTCTGAGAAGTAATCAACACAAAGCCTCCGTATCTCCGATTGAGACTCAATTTTTACACCCGAGGAATCAAACAAATAGTGAATGTGGTTTTGAGCCTTCCTAGATGCCACCATTCTATGGAAGTAGGCAGAATTGCTATCACCCTCCTTTAACCACGAGATACACGACCTTTGCAACAAGAAAGCCTCTTCAGCACGCTGAAGAATATGCCATTTCCTTTCAGCCTCGAGCACCAGCGACGCATTTGCAGTCGTAGGACTTGCAAGAGTTAACTGCTGCAACTGGATAAGTAGATCATGGGCTTCTGAAACACGTTTTTCAAGGTCTGAGTAATTTTCTCTGCTGAAAGATCTTACGATGTTTTTCAAGGTAGAAGATCATTTACAAACTTTTTCATCTTTACCTGCTTGACGTGGGTCTCAATTAGACCACCAAAAAGGGATTGATTACCCTTAAACCATTTCCTAAAACCGCTTCTATGGCTAAATATATTGAAGCCGCGGACGTTCCAACAAAAGAGGTTCGTACACATATCTAGAGTGTGGATTTGAGGCTCTTGCCTCTTTGAACCTTGCGCTGTTTCTTTGACAGCACTTTCTGAAATTTCTCATAAACTTCCTCAGGACTGTCTTCCTCATACTGATCAGAAGATACCGTATCTGAAGAATCTGGCTCAGCTTCAGAGGACGGCGCAGAACTTTTTTCATCACTGTCCTTAGAGTCACCAGCTTTGCTTTGAACTGATAATCCACTAGCTTCTCCCTTCTGAAGACTATGGTTCAGTTGAGGCTGGCTAGTAACCTCCCTAGCAGCTTCCTTGACAGGAACATACTTTGGGGAAACTCTAACATACACCATTTTTGAATCTTTAACTGCGTCCACATTACTAGCTCTCCCATAATGTGGTTGCTTTCTTTGCCGCCTGTGTTTCGTCTCTGAGGTTTTCAGTCTTGGGCAGGATTCAGCAGGATGGACTGTGGAACTGCACCTAGAGCAAGAGACAGGAGCCTTTGAGCATCTTTTCAGCGTATGCCCTATTTCTTTACAATGACTGCAGACCGGAGGCATCCACGGGCTGGAGACAAGGATTCTTGCAATTTCACCTGAGTCAAATTGAACGTTGACCGCCTCCGGGAGCGGCTTTCGCGGGTCAATAATTGTGAACACTTTTGCAACATCAAGGTTGGTTTTGTTTGCTGTCGAGGGATGAAGGAACTTTGGTTCTCCCACGAGCCCTGCAATATGTTCAAGTCCCTGTTCGTGAAAGAATTGCAATGGTACATCTCGTAACTCAAGCCAGATAGGAGCAGAACTTAGCTCGGGCTTCTTGGGAACAACTCCTGGTTCCCACTTCGCAACGAACATGGTTTGGCCTTCTATTTGCCATAGCCTCTGGTTTATGACATGGTTTCTGGTGGAAGCATTTGGGATACGGAAGAGGAAAGCGTTGCCATCCAATTTTGAGACCGAGACATCCCTGTAATACTTGCTCCAGATTCCATTTACTATGTTGTGGAGAGTGCCCTGAGACGGAGGATCGGAGTAGAATTGTCCCAGCACGAAACATTCCCACGACTTGCGATTGTTTTCAATCACCGAATTTGGAATTTTCACACAAATCTCACCAGAAGGTAAGGTGAATGGTGTCCCTTTTCTTTTGAGCTCTCTTGCAGTTCCCTTTACTAATTTGACCCACGAATCGTCGGTGGTCTGGTTTGAAGCTTTTAGGTTTTCAGCTTGAGTTTCAATTTGGGTTTTCTCAACAGATTTGTGAGATTGAGGGGTTGAATCAGAGGGTTCCGAGTCAGCGCCTAAAGCTGGAGGGTTTGAGACAGCGATGGTGGTTACTGCCTTTGAAACATCGGCGAGGGCCAGAGATGGAACGGATTTCAGATCTGAAGGAGGCGCCGTTGCTATGGCCAAGTCTGTTGTTAAAACAGTCGATTGGGCATTTGGAAGAACGATTGATTTGGAGCCCGTGGTCGAGACAGACACCGGAGGGCTATCGGAAGAAGTAGGCGGAGGAGCCGCTGTGGATGCAGGCGGAGAAGCCGCTGTGGTTGCAGGCGGAGAGGCTGACCGAGACTTTGAGGCGGATTTCTTCGAGGGCGAAGCCGATTTGCGCTTCTTTTGCTTCCCCATAAGGAGGGGAGGGCCTTTGAATGGTAACGGAGTGGGATTCCGACGTCTAGAGAGACGCCGGCGAAGAAGTGAAAAGGAACTCACTTTATCGCCCGAGACTTAGAGAGAAAACGTGTTGCTCTGAGTTACTTGTTTTTTAATAACTGGTTGTCTCACCTTGAGATACCGCAACTTATCAAAAGATTTTGCGAGATCGTCTTGTTGTTGTTATTGGTTTTACTGTTCTATGTCTAACCTTGTTGTTGTCATTGTATTCAAAAACAGATGAAAACAATCTACAAGAAGTCACCAATTGATTGATCATCTGCAAAATTCGTATGAAAAAAAAAAGTGAAAACTCAAAACTTGTTAAAGTTTTACGTAAACATGTAAATAACGGAAAGTTTAGTTTAAACTTTAAAGTTTAAAACTATTTAGGTTTATTCAATCAACAAAATTTAACAACAAATGGGCTATTGTGAATATAATAATACTTGGGCTTGGTGAGGGGCATGGATATTTTGGCCTTCATCATTTAAAGCATTAGCTTTCTAAGTCAATGGCTAGCTTCAAGAGTGTAAGCCTAAACATTCTTTGATCACACGATGTGGAAGACTCTCGATCCTTCTCCTATCTTTTCTTGATGCTGCAACGATATCTTATACTATTACTTTTGACTTTTGTAAAGAGGGGAGTGTAAGATTTTATGTGGATCTATGGATAAAAATAAAACTGTAAAAGAGTCATGTGACGGCTAGATCTAACGGCCCATGTGTCGCTGATATCACAATCTTTTCCCATGGTTTTGCACATTTGCGAATGATGATGATATAGCTTTTTATGGTGTAAGAAAAAAGAAGAGATGAAGATTCTTTCTTCTCAGGTTAACACTTTGAATATGTGGAAACGAGATATTGATATAAGGTCTGTTTCTTGACAGAAAGAAAAAGAAAAAAAAGAATTAGGTCCGTTTAGTTGTTTATGCACCATATCTCATATCCAAACTTTAAATGAGAGATTAAAAAAAAATTACAATATATAAACGCAATTTAACAAATTTTATTCTTTATTATAATTTGGTAACAATTCACTAGTACAAACCGTCAGACCATAAATTCCGAACGTATGTTTCATTATATTACAATACAACACTTATTATAAATATGATTTGATTTTTACTGTAAATGCAAAAAAAAAGTAACGGGCATGGAGGTAAATGTATGTGCACTCCTTAGGTGTTTAAGTTTAACAAGGATAATTGCAGTAACAAAACAACGAGTCTGGTTTGTCGTGTGGTCTGTCTCCTGAACGGCAATCACCATATCCTTGATACTTTCGTGCACAATTAGCTTCACATCTTAGGAAAGAACACGTATTATTTTTGTTAAATATACGCTTAAGACATGGTACTTTTCCTTGGACTCCTATTCCTGTAATATTTCAAACATAAAATATCAGTTTCTAGTCGAAGTGTCAATATCTTAATTGGTAAAGACTCTCAGACAAAGTTCAGAGATCGCCGGTTCGAATGACGTTTGAGAAAAAATCATATGTAATATATTCTGGTCTCTGGCCTGAGAGAATATACGGACCTAGGCCCAGAACCTCTTAGTTAGTAAATAATAATCAGTTTTTAAAAAAAAAAATAAAAAAAAAAATAATCAGTTTTTATTTTCAAATTATAAGATTGTTATAATAAACTATAATTTATTTATTTTTTGATCCATTGATTATTCTTGAGAAAATATATATCAGAACTAATTAAAAATAATAAGTATATACATGTAGTTTGAAAACTACATGTCATACCTTTGAAATATCATGGTATTTGTAATACTTTTTATTTAGAACAAATATATGGATTACGTTAAAACGAGTTTAAATGGAAAAACAAACCTAGTATCAAAATGGAGAAGATAAGTAGAACGGCTACCGAAACTTGAGAGAGATTCCTCATCTTAAAAGATATAAATGAATTGATGGTTTTTGAAGATTAAAAAGAAACAAAAACATGTATTTATTTATGTAAAGTTAAAGTTACATGTATCTCACATTCAAATGTGTCTAATTTAAGCAATTAAATTCCGATTTAAAGGGATCATGTTTTACACAATTCCGGAAATGTAATATAGAAGGAAAAGCTTAAAATAGATTTCTAAATAAAGATATATATTTATATTTATTCCAAAAATGGAAGTCAAAAATTTTAAAAAATTAATTTACCATATATCATTTAGCTATGTTATTTAATAGAATTTGAGTTGTACAATATGTTCAATTCAAGTATGAAGAAATAAATATAAAATCAAGTATGAAGACAAACAAATGAGCTTAACCAAGAACTAGTGTTGATACGACATATGGAAACCCATTAGGCTAGTGAAGACATATGGCACAATCATGGAAACTTTTTGTGCGACATATGGAAACCCATTAGGCTAGTGAAGAGGTTGGCCCAAAAATCCGGCTTTGACTCAAAAGAATAAAAGATTAGTTATTGAATTTCAGCTTCGTCAATCAATAAAACTTTAACAATCTATACTATTAATTGGGAAGCATTGGATAATATATAACCTTATAAAGTGTAAATAATTACAAAGGATTGCCATTACAATTTTCTGATTCTACGACTTAAAATAAGAGATCTGCGAGAGGTATAATGGACAAACGTTATCAAACAGGGACGCGGATCTTGGATCATGAAGTCGGATCTCGGGTCTTTATCACCTTTTTTGGAAGGAGGAATAGCAGCCCGATTTGTTTGATGAATGATCCTATTGGGCTTACGAAGAATAATAGGCCCGATCGGGTATACAGTATTTATAGAAAATAATAATCAGATTCAATACATTTATTAAAAATAACCATAACAAGCAAATCTATTATGAGGATTACAATCTCTCTACTCCTATATTTCTATAACAACCTATATGACAAAATCCGTTTATTGAAATAGCCATTTTAGATTCTATAGCTTCAAAAAACATTCCATAACAACTAAAACTATAAATGCGAATTATAATGAAAAAATCACGGAACAATCTATGCAATCTCAATCCCGCATTTTCACAACTGATAACTAATCCTTCGAGATTATATCTCCTTGATTTAGTTTATATTTAAAGTGATAAAATCTTTTCAAATCCACATTAATCAATAAATTCAACCCAAAAAATCATTATCGCATTACAAAAAATCAAATAAAATCAAGCATATACCTTAAATATTCTAATAGATTTAATCCTCTTCCCCGTAATTCTCTGAACCCTAGAAAAATTATAGACGACTTTCATAACTATAAATATAGGGTTTAGAATTCTGAAAAACTCACCTTTCCATTGTTTAAACTGTTCTCTTCACGATCCCTCTAACAAAATGGCAGCTATTGTAGCATTCACCGATCTTGCTGACATCAAGCCTTTCAAAACACAATGGAGAATTCAAGTCAAAATTGTGCATTCGTGGACTCAATACACTCAATACACAGGGGAAACAGTGGAAATGATTCTTGCTTATACATCTCTAAGTAACTTGCTTAGACAAATTTTGCCAGTCATACCACAAGGCACCAGACAAGAAACTGTTATGGCAACAATCAACCGTTCATATTTATGGAATTATTGCTCTATATTCACTCTCGAGAAAAATATGAGGCTGCACCAAGCAGAAAAAGATTTTGCGAAGTGGCTAATAGGTATCGGCGATGGCACAACACCTAAACCAAAAAAATACAGAACCTCAGATGATGAAATTGGCATAGTGGAAATAGACAACAATCTGCTTTTGCAAAACAACGGAGATCCTGTTGAATGCATTGCAAAGTCTACATATCAGGACTTCCAGTTAAGTTTCAAAGACAAAAAATATCTGATTGAACGAGCAATTCTTACTCCAAGAAATGAGACAGTCGACGAAGTGAATAACTACATGTTATCATGCTTAAAAGGAGAGCAAAAAGAGTATTCGAGCTCGGATACCATCGGTGACGACAAAGAAGAAGTGGCAAATCAACATATTCTTTACCCCACAGAATTTTTAAATTCGTTGAAATTTCCTGGTATTCCTAATCACAAACTAGATCTCAAGATAAATGCACCGATCATGCTACTGAGGAATATAAATCAAAGAGAAGGACTCTGCAATGGTACAAAGTTAATAATGACTCGCCTAGGCAAGAGGATTATTGAAGCAGAAATACTCACTGGAACTCATGTGGGAAAACGTGTTCTTATTCCTAGAATAAGTCTCACACCAACAGATGCAAAATGGCCTTTTAAACTAAAAAGACGCCAATTTCCTGTACGAGTTTGCTATGCAATGACTATTAACAAGAGCCAAGGTCAAAGCTTAAACAAGGTTGGTTTATATTTGCCAAGTCCAGTCTTTTCTCACGGACAATTATACGTCGCACTATCAAGAGTCACTACAACTGCAGGACTTCAGATTCTTAAAGTTGGAACAAAACACTATGATAGTAGTGTTCTACAAAATATTGTCTATCAAGAAGTTTTCAACAACATATGATCCTCATAGAGAGATGAAAATCAGAGATTTTACAGTTATATCTACAGTTTTTTCATAATATTATAATTCTTTTAGTTTACAGATTTGTAATTTCGATTGTACATGTTTTCTTTGGGTTTCAGGTTTTAATCATCATCACCTCTAGATTTAAGATTTTCTTAAACATACACTCACTGCATTATGAAAAATTAAGGCAAGTCAAAACGATATGATCCATTGCTAACCTTAGGCACGTCTGTAAAGATGAAAATTCCGTCTCTGCGGTTGGCCTACACATCTCTTCTCATAGATGAACTCCATTGAGAGATCCCTCGAAAACATAGAAGCCAGTTTAATTATATGACTAAAATCTAGACGAGTAGATAGTTCACATCGGATATATGTATGAAAATGAAACAAAAACAAAAAGATTCCACAAACAAAAAACAACTTACGTCGTCAGCCATCTGTGCAATGAGCTATCCTCCTTAACAATTTCTATAACTCTACTTCTGCAGCTATTGTTGCTGATTCATTATGGACGCTGGAGTGCGTAAAATCATTAGAAAACCACTAATAATTAGTAAGAACCTGAAGTAGCTTTTGGATCTCACAGCTACTCAGATCTATAACTTCCCCTTTGTTCCTATCACATAAACTCTAAGTCTCTATAACACCTACAAATAAAAAGAAATTAAGAATATTCAGAGAGAGATGAAAATCAGAGCTTATACAGTTATATCTACAGTTTGTTTTAGTTTCCAGATTTAAAGTTTCGATTATACAATTGTCCATTATTTCTTTTCAAGAACGTTACATGTTTGCCTTGGGTTTCATGTTTTAGTTTTATAACCCAATTTCTTAACTTCAAGCTATTTATCAATAACACATTCTTTGCAATATGAAATAAAATACAATAGGAATAAAACGTTCAGCATAAACTATATGCAATAATAAACCCTGAAGCAGCTTCTGGATCTCACAGCTACTCATACTTTCGACTTCCACTTGATTTCTGATTGGCTACTATCACAAAACTCTAAAGTCTCTAACACTTACAAATAAATATATAAATCCTTTCTTCTATTCAGAACAATCTAATCCGACAAAACCAATACACAAACCAAACCCTATAACAGATAAACTTACAATTCATTCGAGAGTTCCCAACAACACATGAAATTTAAGACAGAACCAGATTAAGAGACTATCCCGTTTTTTGCAAAAAATCATACCAACCGGAGATGTGGGTAAGAGAATAGAACCATCTCCTTCATGATATTCGAGCTAACAAATAACCTGAGATACAAGTAAGAGAATCGGAGGTGATGATGCTCAAATCGGAGCTTCAGGCACCAAATTTTCTTCCTAATTTTAGGACAGCAATTTTCAATTTTAATCACTGAGTCGTCTTCTATCTCTACATCTTCAATTCGTCTTTATTTATTTTTTTCTTGGAAAATCTGTACGAGTTGTTTAATTAACAACATGGGCCTATTGGGCTATTGTCTCTTTCTTTCGTTGCTGTAAATGAGTTATCGAGTTATTAATTGTTTTAAATGAGAATGAACTCTTTTTGATAATCGCTATCAGTTTTTTGAACAGTTTTATATGGTTTCCATAATTCAAATAATACGTTTGAAACTGCATCTTGCCAAAATTTAACTGTATTATCAAAAAATAACTATGCCATAATTGTTTTGAAAAAAAAAATTATTGTTACTTTCTTCTTATATAACATTCAATCTATAAATTTGAAAAGTCTATTCAAAAATTAAAAAATACAAATTTTATGTATAGAAAAAATATTCAATGGACAAAATTTTTTATTCAAAAATTTTAAAAATATAAATTTATGTATAGAAAAAATATTCAATGGACAAAAGTTTTTTATTTATGCTGCATTTTTAAAAAGTAAAAGAAAATGATAATGGAAATATATTTGGAATATGATAATCTATATTTACTAAAAGTTTATTACAACACATTTCTTAAGATATGAAACCCCGCACGTACGTGCGGGTCAAGATCTAGTTTATATTATAGGCCACTGTAAATATAATGACAACAGTTGGTTCATTTTCCTAAAACTTATTGGTGAAATTACATTGCAAACAATATAGTATCTCTTATTTTTTTTTTATCAATATAGTATCTCTTTTCTTAATCCTGTAGACTATAGTATAATTTATTCTTCTATACGGGAACGCGTAAGATTCTGTTTGATCGTGAGATAAAAGAAAAATACTCTTTTTAATCTGTGGGTAAAAGGTAAAAGAGTCATGTTATGGCTGGATCTGACGGCCCACGTGTCGCTCGCAGTCGATCTCTTTTCACTTTTGGTCCCAGTAAGGCTGTCCATACGGAGACATCTTCCCATGCTTTTGGACATTTGTGAAAACAAAATAGTAGTATTATTATTAGAACAATATATTATTACAAGTGTTACTTTCATCTAATTTTACTGTGGTAAGATAAAGTTTTAAATTGACTTGTTGTTCTGATCTTGCTGCAAGTAACCTCCAGTTTTGCCCATTCCATAATTTGGAGAATGTAACTATAACTTCGATCCCCAAAATGTGCCTCCTGTCATGTTGAAATAACTGGCCAGATTTTCAAAAAGTGACCATTTGTCTATCATCCATAATCATCAATCCCTTATTCTATTTCCAATTCTTAAAGTTTTTGTTCTATTGTTGAAACGAGTTAGTTTGATTTGATCATTTGAAATGAATGGGTGAATATGCATGAATTCTAAGAGTTTGTCATGATACTTTACATAAAAATCTACATATATGGTTGAAAAGAAATTAGGTACTCTGGATTTGACGAAATTTCAATAATTACCAATTTGTTACCTTGTGATAATTTCACAGATCTCGAGCCTAGGATACTTTATTTTGTAGGTCCCATTTCAATGACTCATCATCCTTATCTATATCTCTGTCATCTTCCACCTTGCACTTTTTTTTATTTGCACTCCCTCCTCACTCCTTTTCTTTTGTCCTAAAATTAATTTCGAACTTTTTAATTTGGGATCTTCCGATTTCTTAAACTAAACATTGAATGATAAATATTTAAGTACAAATTTAGGATTAATAGTGAAAAACAAACTAATAAATTTATTCAGTAAAAAAAAAAAACAACCGGTAAAATAAAGTCACCAAACTTTTTTAATGGCGTGGCCGGTAGTGCAAAAAAAACAATTAAAATATAAATAAAATCAAGATATTTTGATAAGGTGTCTGTCTATAAAAGTCATATACCACCACCAATAGTGTTTCACTGTCGACAAAATCATTGAAGAGCAACCAAAAAAAAAAAAAGATGGTTCTGCTAGAGAAGCTTTGGGATGATGTTGTGGCTGGACCTCAGCCTGACCGTGGCCTTGGCCGCCTCCGTAAGATCACCACCCAACCCATTAATATCAGAGGTAACTATCTATATTTATACTCAAAACACTTTTAGCTTAATCAAAAACTAGACTTAAATATATTAATTAGTGTGTTTTGTGAATATGGAAAGATATAGGAGAAGGGAGCAGTAAGGTGATGCATAGGTCGTTGACCATGCCGGCGGCAGTTAGCCCCGGAACTCCGACTACTCCGACCACTCCAACGACGCCACGTAAGGATAACGTGTGGAGGAGCGTCTTTAATCCGGGAAGCAACCTCGCCACTAGAGCCATCGGCTCCAACATCTTCGATAAACCCACCCATCCAAATTCTCCATCCGTCTACGACTGGTAACTACAATTTTATGTTATTTATTTCATATAGTACATGATTATAACATAGTCTTAGACTCTTAGATGTTCTAGTATAGAGAGAAAAAGTTATTTGATCGACTTAACCTTTAAGATTTATGACTTATGAAACATAGAACCGGATTAATCTAGGAACGGTTAGGTTGGTTTAGTCCGGTTATTGATTTTTTAACATAATTATCAAATATTTTGGTGTGTGTCAGCGTTGATAATGAAGCTCAAAGGAAGGAACATGTGGCACTGTGTTTAGTGGGCGCTTGGATTAAATGAATATTTTTATTCTGATTTGACCAAATCAACCTTCCTTTTTGTGCATATGGTATAATAATATCATCAACTCTTTAACTTCATAGCCAAAGTTTTAGAGTGCTAATCACAGCCGTTGATTTGTTTCTGAGTATTGAGATTGCTGATCGGATGGTTCAGATCACGAGTTGTTGGTTCACTAATTGACCGCATGTGTGGTGTTCGCAGGTTGTACAGTGGTGAGTCAAGGAGTCAGCACCGTTAGGGATGGTCCGATGGAGTGTGACATGCGGGTGATGTAAATACGGTGACCAGATCTTTCGCCACGTGTCTGTTTAATTACTTTTTACTATTTACCTTAGTTTTGACTGTTTTTGTGTACTTTATCAGAGTGGATAAAGTGACGGGGGATGTTTTTCTTTTGTACATAAAACTGTCTCCCACCTGGCACCTACGCAATGTGTGTTAGTTTCTGTTTTGGGCTGTGTTTTGCAAGTTTTTTATTTTTGTATTTTAGAGTTGTGTAGTGTAGTTGCAAGTGGCGGTTGGGTCTTTCACTATCTTGTTGGATTTTGATGATGGTTGATGCGTTTGCTTTAATGTTCAATAAATAAGCATATTTTTGCTAGTTACCATTGATTGCATCAGTTCACATTTCCTAGTTTTCTTGTACAATATCGTATCAAGAATTCTTGCGGAGGTTGATGAGTGACGTACGTTGTTGTTGAGAGTTTTGTTCTAGCCATGGTCAATTTTTTCTTATTAAGCTAATGCTAGCAGGCTGTCTCAATATATAATGGGGTCTCCGGCAAAACCAAATGAATAACTAAAACTTCTTAGTAAAAAGTTTTTTGTTAAACATTGGGTCTTTTAACCTTGGGATTTTTTTTGAAATTAATATTGAATCCATGACATTTGTCTATTTTACCGAGGGGTAGAGGCCTCGATGCTAGTAATATAATCTCAAATACTTAAACCAAACAGATTGAGTTTGATCGATAGTGGTCTTTGATTCTATGGATGGTAGCTTAGAAACTATGTAATCACTTCCTATAGCTTCACCTAACTCCTATAGCTTCACCTAACTCCTATGCAATCGAAATCGTCACCGCTTCATCTAACTCCTATAGCTTCACCGTTTTGGTTGATTGGATGAACCGAATTCTTGGTATGGATTATGTTTTCATGTTGTAATTTTTTTTTGCCATGAGACCATTTATGTAGGTGTATAATCATCGATTGTAAACCTAAACCGTTTTCATTTTTATGAAATATTTACATTTTTAGCAAAAAAAAACAAAAGTAATCACGATGAACACGATTTAGTGTGTATTACTAATCAAATCACAGATAAAACAACCTCAATCTTAAAAACTTTTTTTAGAAGAAAAAATCTTAGAAACAATTTCTTAAAAAAAACTCTTGAAAACTCTAATACTATTATAGGAAAAATTAGAAAAACAAAAAAATGGAAGTAGGTCTATCCTAAAAATACAAGCTGGATAGCTGTTCAGTAATGCGAAAAGTTTGTTAAATTCTTGAAAGACCTAAAAAACAATACATTTGTCCAAGAAATGGCAAATAACAGAAAGAGAGAAAGTTCTACAATGAAATATATGAAACAATTCATCCTGTCTATAAAATACCAAAGTTATTCTCTTGTCGATAAAAATATTTAAAAAAAACAAACTTAAAAGTCTAGGTGGTTTCTTATTTGTAAATGAGTTGACATCTCCACTGGCCTCCATCACTCAATTTGTTGTTATTACTCTTGGTTATCTAAAGGAGTCTTCATATAGCCAATAATCTGTAGCAAAAACAATATTCCTAGTAAGAAAAAAAATTGTAACTTCGATACATAGAAGGTTTCAAGAAGATCAAAAGACTCACCACATGTCCCTTGTTGAAGTCATACATTCTCATCAATCCACCAACATTGTCTTCTTTCTTCACAATTTGTACTCTGTCTGTGTGGGGATCAATCACTCTCGACTCTGTCACCAACTCGTTAACCACAAACATCTCGATTTCATCAACTTGTGCCTCAACGTAAGGAGCAACGTACATCTAAACATTGATCAATTTATATGAAAAAGTTTTAATTAGACTAATGAAATCAATAAGCATGCATTGTTTTTGTTTTTGGATTAGGTTAAAATTAAACATACCTCACATAGTGACTTCATTGTCACGTTTTGTTTGCAGATTACTTGAGGATTCTGCAAATTTGGTATCACTGACGCATCCATTGAAACAAGCAAGACTTGAATATCCATCTGCATCATGGAAACAACACCGATCAAAATGGAAAAACTATGAACTAAACTTTCACAATGTAGACAATTTTTTTTACCTCATCTTGAGTATTTTTATGTTGTTCAACATGATTTTCTAGCATCTGTCTTTTGAATGTGCCACTACGCATGCTGCGTTTTCCACGTTTTCCCCATTTCAGACTCTCCAAGGGCAATAAGTTGGTCTCCATGAATTCTTCTTCAGAGCCAGTTTCATCACTATCATCCGTGATTTCAGGACCAAAAATTTCATACATTAAACGAGCTTTTTCTCTTTCACGAATGGTAGTTTGATTCTCAGATGGATAAGATGGACTATCTCCATCACCAGAAGAAGAAGCAAGTCCTCTAACTTTGACCTTCGTTGAACGATTAAATTAACAAAAAAAGAGTCATGTTTCAATTAAGTGAATAGAGGAATTAATACTAATCAAAATCATCTTTAAAAAGAGACTTTGGAAGCTAAACATAATCTTTTAATGGCCAAACTAACCTTCTTAATATTAATCTGTTCTATTTCATTGAGCATTAGCTCCTCCGCAACATAAAGGCAAAAATAAGATTTGGTCTAAAGATATATAATATCATCAAGAAAAGACAATAATGGTTTACCTCTTTTTGGTACTGGTTATCATCCAGATCCAGACATGAAATTATTGCATCTACAAGTTTATCATCTTTGAGAGAGTGATGCTTGGGAAAGCAGACACAAGAAGAAGGGCATTGAAGGTCTCTTCAAAAAAAAAAAGAACTAGAAGGGTGAGCACAAAAAAAAATCAACTTATAAAGCAAATAGTATTTAAGAAATAGTCATATACGTATACTTCATGGATGTTTCAATGCATTCTTTACAGAAACGGGTCATGCATTCCACACAAAGTTGAGCTTTCCGAAGGATACCTGAAGAAAGCCCAATAATTGGTATAAACATGTCAGTGTAAAATATTTTCCTGTTGATAGAATAACTCTCAAAATGCCTTTTTAACAAAAAAAAAAAAAAAAAAAAAAAACTCTCAAAATATGCCATCACAATCATATTAAATACTATGATTGAATATTAACATATAGGTCTGTCAATATGAACCAAAAGAGAAGGAAAACCTGGCTCCAAACGAAACTTATATTTTTTCTTAATACATGAATGGCTTTAAGAAATAACTCCCATTAATATTTTTTAATTATAAAAAGTTTTTTGTCACTTCACATTAGCTAAATTTTAAATTTTATCAAAACCGATCAAGGAGGCTTACATATACCTTATTTAGATATGTATGCCACAAACAAATACATGAAAAAGGTTGATTTTTAAGATACCTAGACAGATTGGACATTCCACTTTCTTGAGAAGTCTTGAGAAGTTCACCATGACAAATCTGCAAGCAGCAAAAAATGCAAGAATTTGATAAGTTGTAGCATATAATCATTATTGTAAAGCTCTACTAGTACCAAATAATCAAACCACAAATATAAGAGCACGGTAAAATCAGAACTGAATTTAACATCAGATTTACTTTCTACTAGTGATATCAAAACTAGCAAGTCTATATCTACCTGGGAATTATCCTATAAACTAGTAAACTTAATCAAACATAATAAATGTGAAGGATCGAGCCCAAGATCTAAAGACTTCATCCATATATTGACATATCCAAACCAAATTCAAGCCGCCAAAATATAAAGAACAAAAAAAGCGACACACATTTACACAAAATGCACATTCATTATGTTCAAATTAAAATTTATAATGCGCACCGTAAATTGTATGTAGATCTATTATAACATCGATGTCAATCACAAAGAGGAACATAAAAGACAAGATAAGAAAACACAAAAGAAGAAAACAATCGGCTTACTCCTAAATTTCCGTCTCGTCTCCGGATGGTGAGTTCCGATTGGCAGATATCTGATAAAAAAAATCTACAAAGAAACGAGGATTAAAAAAATAAATAGCATTATTTTAAAGAATTTTTTTTACTCTTAAATTATTTTTTGGTAGAAATTTAGTCAAAAGAGAGAATTAATTATTTACCTTTTTATCCGAATTAATTTTATTACGTGTTTCGTTTTGCACCATATAATTTTTAAAGATATGTTAAAATATCATATCAAATTTTTTACTTAATAATAACTAAAATTTGAATAGCTAATATGGTATGAAATATATAAAATACGAATCACTGCATGCCACGTAATATATGAATTAGTGAGCACGTTGACGGACTTCATTTTTTTTTTTGAATACTAGGAGGTTTTGGGCCAAAGCCCGTAATCCCCCCAGGTCCGAAACCACAACATGTAATATTAGTTTCGTCCCAAACGTCACTCGAACCAGCGACCTCTAAGCTTCGCCTAAGATCTTTACCAGTTGAACTAACGACACTTGGTGACGGATTTTCCTAAGTATCGACGCACTTTCCAAGTCATACATAATAGAGAACCCCGGAAAACATGTCCAATTTATGAAGGTGTGTTAATGAGTGATTTTTTCCTTTCATGTAATTTTGGTTGTCATTTTTATAATTAATGCTAACTATTCTCCTTTTTCTTATAGGACTTTTTGTCACTTATAATGAATATAACTTTTCTAACCTTTTGCTTTTGTCTCTGACTGTCCGTTTTTTCTGCATCTTGTAATCTGACATTCTCGATCTTTCTTTTTTATTGTCTTTCTTCATTTGCGACTTTCTTCTTCTTCTTTTTCTCTTACTTTTTCCTTATTTTTTTTCTCCGATGATCTGAGCTCCATCTTCTTTTGGGATGGACGTATGTTTTTTAGTTTAGTTTCCGTTCAGTTTCTTCGGTTTTATAGAAACGAAAATCGTATAGAAACCATATGTAATTCAATATGGTTACTATTTGTTTTTTCGATTTTATGTTTTATCGATTTCATAAATAATAAACCATATAAAAACCTTATGCAATTCCGTTTAGTTCAGTTTTAGTTATTTTTGGTTTAATTCATGAATAAAAATAATTTTTTAAAATTATCTAGAAATGTAACATCTTTGATTTAGATATATATGAAACTCTAAGTACATTCCAACATATTTCATCACTTAAATGTTAAACATAATATTATTCTGAACTATATCATCTTTCAAAGAGTTTTATTTCCTTTTCTTAATTACATAATCATATAAAAAGACACTATTTAAACCAAAATTTTAGACTCCAATCCGAAAATCCTAATTCGGAGACTTTATTTTCAAACCGAAGAACCGAACCGACCCGAAGACTCCGATTGCCCAATCCTAGCCAAACCGTAGCCGCCATTTCCGTAGCTTATTATCTTCGTTTACCCCGAAAACTAAAAAGATCCAACAAAATCCAAACTTGTGCAATTTTGGTGTCTGCTATACAGAATCCAAATCCACCATATTCCGATTAGAAACCCTTTCTCTTTTGATCATGGATGTGTCGAAAGTTGTCAGCTTTTCCCGGAATTTCGCCGTCTTGGTCAAAGTCGAAGGCCCTGTAAGCCCTTATCTCTCTTTACCCAATTCTTATTTTCAGATTCTATCCATAAATTTATCTACTTTACACATGATCGAGTACAAAGTGTTAATAATCATACTTGGTGTCAATTTTAGGATCCAAAGGGATTGAAGATGAGGAAGCATGCTTTTCATCAATACCAGTGAGCACAAGATGAATTATATATATATATATATATGTTCTTTGACTTGGTTTTTATCTTGGAACTTAATGTGGCTGAAATATTTGTGTGTTTTGAAGTTCTGGCAATGCAACACTTTCAGCTTCTGGGATCTTGTTTCCAAGAAATATCTTGACTGGTGAGGCCGTGGCTAAGGTTCTGTTTGAAGCTGGTCAGGACATGGCCCTGGTTTTGACCGTTGCATCTGTTGTAGAGCCATTCTTAACATTAGGTCACAGAACTAGTAGTAGTATCTCTCAGGTTAGATACACATGATCCAGTTTACTATCAATGATACATGTTTTTTGCTTGATATGCTACTTCTTCAATCTTGATGTCTTTTTTTTTTTTTTTGTAAAGGATCCGGTGAAGCTTATTCCAGGTGCTCGGATTGAGATTATGGTGGAGGTATACAGATAGTGTTTATGAATAGTTTATGTTGAATGGTAAGTTGTTTAGAGTTTTTAAGGTATGATCTAGATACTTACTCTTTCCAGGGTCAGCTAAAGTCAGGAAAGGAAGCTCCTTTTTGGGTTCCTGCGCAACTTCTTTCACTGGTACGGATGAAATTCCTCTTCTTTCTTGCATTTAGAAGTGACAACTGATACCTCCCTGTGGTGATGATTTATGAGGCCACAAGATGGGTGATATGCACTTCTTATGGCATATGTTGTAGCTTCCTTTTTATGGCATATTAACTTCTTTTTGGTTCTGATTAAACTAATATGTTACAAGGTTGATGTCCCTGTATCTTCTGCTGCACTCCAATCTCTTATTGAAGCTTCTTCCGGTTCAAAAGATTCTGGATGGGATGTTGGTTGGTCTTTGGTTTCTGCTGCTAATGGTTCTCAGCCTTCAACCAAGGTAAGTCAAATGCAAACACATAATGCTCTTTGATGGCTCGTTGCAAGGGAAACATTCTGAGCGTTTGAACTTCTACCTGTAATTGCTTGAGTAATTGATGCGTGTTTGTATTTCCTTCTTTGAAATGAAAGAGCTCTGTCTATTTCTGAGATTCAGTTTTCTATTATTTATCTAGATTGAACATTACAGCAAGCCCTTGATGCAACTTGATGAGCCACTCAATGCAAACTTCATGTCCAAATCTGCCACTCGAATGGCTCTTCTAGGAGTCCCCTTAAGTTTACTGGTTAATATTTTCCTGATTTTCCTCCCCGTATATTCTTTATGATTTATGGTTCATCTTAATGTTACTGTACCTTACACTATCTCTAACTATTTTAAACTATGGTTCGTGGTGCAAATGTTTTGTGAAATCAGGGTCAGCCAAACATGAATTTTGCTTCATCAAGTAGCAAGGGTGATACACTTGTAGCACTAGGTTCTCCTTTTGGAATCCTTTCACCTGTCAACTTTTTTAACAGGTGAATTATGGCTACACTAGCGTTACTGCATTTTAAATTTTTAATCGACTAGAGCTCATCATGATTTCCTTTCTATTGATAATGTCAGCATTTAACTCTGGTAATCTAAACTGGTTTGAAACAGTGTATCAACTGGTTCCATTGCAAATTGCTATCCTTCTGGATCCCTAAAGAAGTCACTGATGATAGCTGATGTTCGATGTCTCCCTGGTATGTACAATTCTCAATAGTTCTTA